CATTGAAATAACTCTGGCCCAAGTTCTACAAAGGTGAGCAAGTTTATTCCATGATTTGCTAGCTGAGTGGCAAGCCCCTGCCACTTTTGCATTATTTCCCATCCTGAATCAAGTAGGGGCAATATGTACCAGGAGCCCTGGTTCTCTCCCAACACCATCTGCCCCCTGCTAAGAGACTATGCATCACTGAAAAAGTAAACTTTCCTGAACAGGGAAAACGTTTGTATAAATTTAGCTGTACATCCCATTTAGTCATATTGTCAAGATTCATTCATAGTACTTGAAAGATGCATCTTTTTCTTTCATTTTAAATAAACACTGTCCCTTTTGCCTCACTGAAATACACAAGCAGACCCAAAGAAACACTTTTACCTTTGACCCTCACTTCACCATGCTTCCTCCTTTTTCTGTACAAGCTCCGTTCTTTACCTCATTCTTTAACTTGTCTAGGAATTCAATAGAATCTAGAACAGAGTTCTATAAACTGATTGAAAAATCAACAAAGACGAATCACAGAGACCAGTGATAAAAAGATCATTTCTCTCACCCTGCAACCCAGCACTATGCAAGCTGCTTCCACAGTAAGGCAAATGAAAGGCAAATGAATGCAGCATATAGACACACAAGGGCAGGTACCAATGTGCTCACATGACATTTTTTCCCCATTGTTGCGTTGCATCTCTTTATTAGTTGCTTTTGAAGACATAAGAAGATAGAAAGATTAATGCCTTTATTTCACCAGAAAATTTTGCCAACCAGTGTGTGGTTCCCACTGGCAGAAGCGGGAGGGGAAGGAGAGCGCTATTGTTGTTGAACCTGAAATATAAGGGAGGTAACTTCATGGGAACTGAGAATGTTTAGAAGTGCCAAGCATAATATTCTTTATGGTCACTCCCTCCATCTGACCTTCGCATAACTCTCCCACACGATCATTTCTTCCCCATCTTACCCCATAAAATTGAAAAGTGACCTATCTTGAGGAAACACAGGAGCTCTTTCAGGATGGCCGTGTTCTGCATTATTGTCTTTAGGGAAACGAAAGGGTTTGTCGTTGTGGCTAGTCAACATTTTAGGGGTGACTGCCCCACAAATTTCTCCCACTGGCAGCCATGGAGTTTTTCACCTTGGCATGCCATACACTCCCCGAACGGGCATCAAAACTGCCCAAGTAGCTCTAGAGTCTGAACGGCAAGCATGGGTCAAAACCGTGGCGTGTCCGTTTAACACGTGATGGTTTCCAGTCAGTAGCCCCTGTGGCTAAGAACAAAAAAAGCCTTCTCAAGGTCCACTCAAATGCCCTGCAGAGGGCAGATGCTGCTTGTTTTCTGCTTACAGCGGAGGGGGATATTGACGCAGAACTCAAATCTATAGCCAGCTTAAACATTTTACCCATCAGCACGACTGCAGTCACAAAACACTTTTTCTTTCTGTCACTTCTTGCTCAGACTATTGATAAGATCATTTGGCTGAATCTGTTTGGGACCTGTGTAATATTGACTAGGACTTAAAAAAGATGATCAGATGTAATAAGCCCAGAAACTACCTTTCAGAATGGGCATATATATACTTAAACCACTGTTCCAAGGAGGACTTTAAATAGATCAGCAAACTTGTAAACTAATGCAATACTGCTTGGATGTCTCACTAACCTTAAACCTTGTGATGTTCCATCTAAGACTATCTGAAACAATTTGTTATTAGCATCCCGGTCTTGAGTCTTTCCCCATGTTATTTTCTTCTTTTCATTTCTTGTTTCAGATCCTGTTTGCTTGCCTGATGAGAAATAGACACTATCGTATAAACCACTGCAAATTCCATCTTTTTCTGTAAGCCTAACAGGAACAATATAGAGGACCTACCTCTAATCACTTTGTAAACACACATAGTGCATATTGTCAGAATCATTCTTTGTTGAAAGATATCTGTTAATTACGGAAAAGAATAATCCTCTTTACTAAGCCTTGCTCTTCTGTAGGTCCCAGATTATGTGAGGACATGTGGGTGAAGATCAAAGTCCACCTAGTTCCATGGATGCTCTCCAAAAAAGCACAATCAGATAAGGTAAAGCTAACCTGGAAAGATGATGCAGGGGCACTGCAGATATTTCAGGGGACAAACACCTCTTTGTCAGACCATGAAATGGCAAACAAACTGAAGTTAAAACCCAATGACCATTTCAATGGAATACTACAGGCTTAGTGACTGCAAGGTTTGGGACTGATAGTTTTTGCAAAGAAAAGTGAATCAGAAGAGTATTCTCTCTTAAAAAAAAAAAAAGTTCCTGAAAGTTATAAACATGAAACCTGGCAGTATATGCAAAAAATTTATTCCAAAACTTTACGAAGTATAAAGGAAGGGAAGTGTTTTACACACAACTCAACTCAGTCAGTATAAGGTCTAGGGTTTCCCCCCCTTAAAACTTGGCACTATTTTTAAAATAAAATAAAGATATTTCAATAATTAGAACAAACTATGAAGGTATTGTGCATTTCTGTTTTATGTAGATAATAAAATATTACTTTAACATAAATATATAAGGATCTCTGCGTTTTTATTTTCCCCACAAGCACAACCAAATGTACCAAAACAAAGTATTTTTAAAGAGACTGAACAAAAAAAATTACATCCCATATAGATTTTGCTCACCTACTCATTTAAAGCTACAGAAAAACAGTTTCCAGAACCTTTTTGCTTTAAAAGAAATAAATATACATTGAGGCAGGCCACTTAAAAATGATATGAAAATATTTCCCTGGGTAGCATTAAAAAAAAAGAAAATAGACAAAGAAACGTTTAAACTATTTCTGCATTTCAAAAGACAGATATTAAACATATATACATAGTGGTAAGGTTCAGTGGTAACTTTCATCTTAGTAAACCTATGAGAGTTAGAGGAGCTATAGACACGTCCCCTGAACTCCAGCTTCTGACCTTATCCACTTGGTAATAAGAATGTGAAAATTCATTTCCTCGCTTTACCATTGGCTCTATGCCCTGCTCTGGATTGCTTCACTAAAGGCCAGTTCCCACACCTTAGGAACAGGCGGCATGATGCACCCCCCGAAGCAGCTCCATGCCCATCTCCTTGTGACAGTCATTGGGGGAAATGAAATACAGGCAAATAAATATGCCCATTATAAGCCATCATTTATCTTGCAAAAACATTGAAAATGAAACAATCACAGGTGTTTGAAAAGACAATATAAAGCATAGTTCCTAAAACATTAACTAATGATTGCAATGCTAATCTGATGCCGAACAATAATTTTCTGGTAGTGAGAATTTAATTTCTTAAAATAAAAATTTGCCTAATAACTAACCAGAAAAAAAAGCCCCAAACTTTTAAGATGAATAAAAAGTGTTTTCCCTTTTAGCGCCCTTTTGTGCTGATTATTATTTAATATTTTAACTGATCACAGTTTAATGGTATTTATTTTCAATAAAGTTACAAGTTTTTTTTTCCACCTTCACTTCCCGGTAGAGTCTTTTGTTATGAGAGTTAATCGTTTTCCATCAAGATAAGGTCAAAAAATGCACTTAAAACTGTTAACAAAGGGAGAAAAGGAAGGATTGAAAATAACATTTTTTTCCTACTTCATTTGGCTTTAGTAAAAGAGGTGGGAAAACGCTCCAAGTCAAACTGGTATTTTCTGTAATAAATTACAGAAGAAGAGGGTGTGGGACCTTATATATGATTTGATAAACAAATGAGCTAGTGAAGACAAAGTCAGCCTAGAGTGGAGATATTCTCTGTATGCATATGGGTATTTGTGTGCTAAGAATCACAGTCTATGCATACACCATTAAGTTCCCAGATTATTTTCTTTATGTTAAAAAACAAAAGCTATTAGAGGAACAAAGTTTAACTGCTGCTGTCAGCACAAATAATTCCTCATAATTAAGTTATTAAAACCGAAGGCAGAGAACTGTACAGGGGTGTCTGAAGATATATATTTCCCTAGTTCTCTTCGAAGTGCCACTTTCCTTCTGTTGGACAACTCTGGAAATATATCTAACCTCCACATTTCCTCTGAGCTCTTTCACAATGGGCCCGCCTGATAAAATGAAGCAATCAGTCACTCACTATCGATTTTTCTTTTTCTTCCCTCCTCAACCTGCCCCAGAAACACTGCCTGAAAATGAAGTTTACTTTGTGGCTGGTAACAAAAACCAATGCTTCACTTTCATTTTTGTATTCCAAACAGAATTCTTGCCTTGGATAAAGCGGGTAGACCATGCACATTTCCTGAAAGCAGAGAATTATTTATTTTGTATGAAGTCAATCGGTTTGCTTTGGTAAAAGGAGCAAATAAACGTTATACCAATGTAAGGAGGGGGGAATCTGAAGGTAATCAAAGTTCACAAACAGTAAGAATAACGAGAGGGGCAACACAAGAACATTAGAGATGGAGAGTGGCCAAAAGCTGGCTTCAACTCTCTCCGAGGAATAAAAACCAAACCAAACCAAACCAAACCAAACCAAACCCGGCAACTTCAAAATTAACGCTGGGAGAAAGAAAAACATGTTTGTGAATTTGCTCATGTAAACTTCAATTTTCTTGCAGTGCAAATTTATGTGGTTAAGTTTTGCCTACATCAAAGGACGTGTGTATTTTTCCCTCTTTCCTGATGGGGATCCACATTAAATAAACACAGCAGCATGTGCCAACTCCAAGCGTCAGGAGCTGTGTTTTGTGTTTATCACGGTTTGGTAGATTTTTTTGTCTTTTTGGTAATTTATTTAGTTTTGCCAGGTATTTAACTCAGTGCTAGCCATCTCTCTCTCTCTCTCTCTCTCTCTCTCTCTCTCTCACACTCACACACACACACACACACAAGCACGCACGCACGCACACACACACACACACATTCTCTTCTGACTCTATGAGACACTCCACTCCATTGACTGGGTACTAGCCTGTAAAGGTCAAAACATATCATTACACCTGCTATCGTTTAAAGGATAGTCCAGTGCCTTAGTTGTTTTCCTTATTTTTTTTTTTTTAAGGTACGGGGAAATAATAATTAAAAAGAAAAGAACAATCAGAAGTTAGAGAGGGAACAAGGGGGCCGGGAAAGGGTCGCGGACCGAAGGGGAGGGGAGCCCCGCGCTCTGCCCCTCCCCCCCGCTCGAGTTCACTGGACGGGTGTCTGTACCCCGTGGTGTGGTGGCGTGTCCCTACTCCCCCCGTACACATCCTCGGCGCCCGGCAGAGTCCCTCCGGGAGGGGTCATCCTTTTCTCTTTCTGTCTCCTGTTACAAAACCAAACTCTCACCACCTCCTTCTCCAGCTGTAAGCTGTCCGCGAGGGAGGTGATCTCCTGGGCCGAGGGCTTGGGGCATTTGAGGAAATGGCTCTCCAGAGCCCCCTTGACGCTCACCTCGATGGAGGTCCGCTTTTTCCTCTTGCGCCCCTGCGCTGCGATCTTGTCTATGCTCGTGGGGCTGCCCGAGGACGAGTCCGCCTCCTCCAACCACTTGTTCAACAAAGGCTTCAGCTTGCACATGTTCTTGAAGCTCAGCTGCAGGGCCTCAAACCTGCAGATGGTGGTCTGCGAGAACACGTTGCCGTACAGGGTGCCCAGCGCCAGCCCCACGTCCGCTTGGGTAAATCCCAGTTTGATCCGCCGCTGCTTGAACTGCTTGGCGAACTGCTCCAGGTCGTCCGAGGTCGGCGTGTCCTCATCCGAGTGCGGGTCATGGTGCGCGCCGGGGTGGCCCGGAGGGCCCTGCGGGGGCGGCGGGGGCGGCGGCTGCTGGTGCGGGTGCGAGTGCGGGTGCGGGTGGTGATCAGCGTGGTGCGGCTCGTCGTGCGCGTCCCGCAGGCCGTGGTGGTGCAGCCCGGCCGGCTGCCCGCCGGCGCCCAGCATACCGTTCACCGTGAAGCTGGGCTGCGAGTAGAGCAAGCCGCCGTTGGACGCTCCCATGGAGGGCGGGAGGTGCGCCGCAGCCGCCGCGCTCCGCCATGCCCCGGGCCCCGGGTGGTGGTTGGCAGCGTGGTGCACCAGATGCGGCGGCCGCTGCTGCTGCTGCTGTTGCTGCTGCTGCTGCTGCTGCTGCTGCTGCTGCTGTTGCTGCTGCTGCAGGGCGCCCGGCCCGTGTAGCTCGTCGCCGCGGCCGCCCTGCTGTACCACCACCGAGGGCTTGATGTCCGGCTGGCCCAAGGGGCTGGTGGACCACGGGGAGCCGTCGCCGCCGCCCCCGCCGCCACCCCCGCCCCCGCCGCCGCCGCCACCGCCCCCGCCGCCGCCGCCGTGGGACAGCGCGGTGATCCACTGGTGAGCGTGGCTGAGCGGGTGCCCGTTGCTCTGCAGCGCGCCGTAGTCGCCCTGCACCAGGCTCTGCGCCTCGCGGTAGCCCCCCGCGCCCTGCTGCATGCCGCCCGGCGGCTCGGCGTGCACGATGGAGGCGCTGGAGGTGAGCAGGCTGTAGTGGTTAGACGCTGCGGTCGCCATGACTCTCGGAGCCGGACTGAGCGCTCTGGTTAAAGGAGCCGCGCATTTGACAGTTACTTTTTCGCCTCGGGCTCCTCTCCTCGCTCGCTCTCTGTCTCTCTCCTGTCTCCCCAGCGGGCAGCTCCGACGCCCGCTCCGACGCCTTCTGTTGCTGCTCCTGCTATTACTGCTGCTGCCGCCGCCGCCGCCGCCGCCGCCGCCGCCGCCTCCCGCCCGCCCTCGCTCTCTTTCTCCTCCTCTCCCTCCTTGCTCTCTCTCACTCTCTGACTAGCTCCGCGCTCCCCCCCTCTCCCTGCTCTCTCCAGCTCTCTCCCGCTCTCTTGGCAGCGCCAGCTCGCAGCGGCACGCGCCTGGGCCCCGCCCCCTCCGCCCCCTCCCATTGGCTCCGCGCCCTTTGATTTACGTGGATACCGCTAGCAACCTCCCAGGCCGGCGCCACTGATTGGCGCAGAGCTGTCCCCTCCTCCTCCCCCCCGGGCGCGGAGTCCTCTTAGCCCTCCTCTGGTCCCCCCTCTCCACCCAATTCAGAATCTCAGAGTTCTCACCTCCCCTTCTCCCCCACCCCCGGCCTCCTCCGCCCCTCGGATGGGCCCGCCCCCCATCTGTCTCCCAAGCAGACGCGCCGGGCGGTCCCGGTGGAGGAGGGGGGCGCCCCAGCCATCTATCGACCACAGACACTTGCAAGACTTGGGTGGCGGAGGGGAGGGGGTGTCTGTCCACCTTCTCCTCCCAATAGGGCGGGAGAGGGGGGTGAAGAAGGAGAAAGAGAAAGGCTGAGTCCCAACAAGCCATGGGGAGTCCGATTTTTTTTCACCTTGGGACACACACACACACACACACACACACACGCCAACGTCTCACATCTAGAGCCAGAAGTCAGACTAGACCCCCTGTTGAAGTCTCCTTTCCCCCACAGTTAGAATTTCAGTGCCCATGAGCTTCTTGCTCCAGGGTGTGCGGACACTTTTGCCCCAATAAAGGTCCTCTTCTTCCCCTCCACCCCGCCGCTAGCGTAGGATGTCTTCCTTTTAGGTTCCAGGCCCAACTGTCTTCCAGCCCCTCGGGATGAGTACCCCACGAGAGGCAGGCTCAGCCCGTGCCTTGGCTTGTAAGAGGCTCCTGTCCAGGAGCGGAGTTGCCTGCTCTGACAGCGCAGCGGTCTGGACTGAAAACAAAACTCTAAAAGTCTCTGACACATTCAAAGACTGGGGCGCGCGCACAGTTTTGGTTTAGGAAACTAGGACCCTGAGCCGGTAGACCTTCGCCCTGTGCCGGGCTACAGGAGCGCCTGGCAAGGGGTGTTCGGCCTCCGGGTGCGGGGGAGGTACCGAGGGCGGCTCCAGAGAGCGGAACCGCGGGGACTGCGTGAGCGCTTCCTCGTGCTCCTGGAGCTTTTGGATGCAACTTTTCCGTTAGCTGCTTCGAAAGGGAGGAAGGGCGTGTGAAGAAAAATGGGCAGTACTAGGGGAACCTTTCTGATCCTAAACTTCGGCGGACACCAGCTGGTGGGTTGGTCTAACTCAGCTCCCAGGCGCTCACTGGCGAAGCTCCGTGCTTAGCCTTCAGCCGTGAACTCCAGAGCGAGATTGCGGGACCCTGCCCTGGCTGCACAGCTCTTCCCAGCGCGAGCGAGTCGCGCCGTCAGTGCCGTAGCCGCCGGGAGCAGGTGCCTGCCGCGGGTTTCGGAGCCTGCTAGCCGGGTAGCAGAGACCCGGGCGCGGACTCGTGCTGGAGCAGCGGAACCAGCACGCAGGCCCGAGTGTACCGGACGGATACTGCAAAACGAATCAGAAGTTGCTGCCGGGAAGGGAAACAAACAAAAAACCACAGGGAAAGTGAGTCGCGTCCCCACCTCTCACCCTCGGCCTCGCGCGTTGTAGCCCTAGCGCTGGCGCTGCCGGTGGTCGTGGGTTTGTGAGGGAAGCCAAATCAACGCTCAAGGGGAGCACTTTGGGGCCTCCGAGCATCTTAATCTAGACAGCAAAGTGGAACGGGCCAGAGAATTCATCATGACTAACGAGGAGCGGAGGTCTTTGGGGAGTGGCTGAGCTGTTTATAAATCACCACGTTGAGCACCCGCCCGGGCAAGGCGCTTTGGCTGAGAATTTCCACGTGCCCTCTGTTTACGAGCGTGTGTGTGGAAGAGAGAGAAATCGTTAGGGGAGGGGCGAGCCCACAGGCGGCCAACGGAACGGACCTGCATCCCCCCACGCGCGCACCCGCGCGGCGAGGCGAGGACACACACCTTGTGGCGCTGGGTTCCCGCGCAAGCGCGGAGCCACTCCGGCCGCTCGCCTGGGGGCTGCTAGGAATCCCGTAACTTTGCCGGGCTACGAAAAAATGAAAAAGTCCAAGCCTCGGAGCGCGCAGACTCGGCGGCTGGCGCCCGCGGCTTTTCGACTAAGAGTGAAGGGGATGGGCGGAGGGCAGGACCGCCTCCCTCCGCAGCAGTTCCGAGTCCCCAGCGCTGGGAGCTTGGCTCTCCCGGGGCTTTGGGAGCGCACAGGCCGCTCGCCAGCCGCGTCCCGCCCTGCCCGCCGCGCCTCTTCTCACCCTCTGCCCCCGGCGGCCCTCCTTCCCCGCCTCCCGGCTGGGAGAACTCAGAGCTCCCACAGATAGAAGGATCCAGACGCCGGGAAGGGCCGCGTCCGGGCCCTGAACAGCTCGCCACCCTCCCCCTTCCGGGGCAGGTGTCTGCTTTTCTCTGGATTTGATTTCTCATTTCTCAAGGGACAAGGCCCTTTCCAGCCGGTGGGGTGAAACACTCGAGGGAAGAAAAAGGTTTCCAATCTCTGAGGGAACCGAGGCGGCCTGACTCAGAGACAGTTTAAAAGTCCCACTCCCTCCTCTCCTTCTGCCTCCCTTTCCCCAGTCTCGGGCTTTGGGCGCTGGGGTGTTGGGTAGGGGAGCAAGAATAGGCTGCACGTGTACATCCCAACTTCCTGTCTGCAATGGGACTCCACTGGCGATTACTGCTTGGAGATCCATGCCACGCTGACATCCCGGGTCTCCACTCCACCCCAACCCCCGCCTCATTTCGCTGGCAGGCGACGGAGCCGAAACGTTCCCAACAGGGTAAGCCGGGTGGTTCTACCGGATTAATACACCCAGTAAATCCCGGGGAGTACACAAAGCAATGCCCTACTCCTGGGCCTCAGCCTCTGCATCTCACCCCCACTCCCGGAGCCGGGCCAATCGCCAGGCCGGCTGGGCTGGGCTTGGGCGCGCACAGTGGCTCTGGGTACCCAGCCCCCCCGCGCCACTCCCGCCTCCCCGGCTGTCGCCGGAGGCCCGGTTGGCGCGAACGCCGGGTCCTGAGTAGCCTCGGCTTCCAGTCTGCCTTCCGGCGCTGCCCCTCCCCGGGGCTCCGAGAACCTGGGCTCTCTGAGGTTTCAGCCCCAGATGGGGGCTTCTCGGTCCTCCCTTACCTTTCTCCCCCCATCGTGGGTGCCCTTCTTTGCAGCTGACCCCGCTGGAGTCAGAGTCCGCACGTCTGCCTGCCTTTCTCCACCCTGATAAAAGCATGTTGAAGGTGTCTCGGGGAGACACCTCCAGGTTTCGATTCAGCTCATTCCCTTTCACTGTTCAAAGCAACTGTTCAAATACAGAGGCTGCTTACGTTGACGAGCAGAGGATTTCAAACAACCCTAAAATTCTTTGAACTGACAAGGTGTCTTGATATCTACCTCACTCCAGTACAGCTCCCCGAGATCATTGGCTAGGACAAAGGCTGAGCAGGCGGTTCACGCGGGCCTCGCAGCCTCCGGGACCGACTGTGGGGTCCCCTGGGCCCCCTCCTCGAGAGCAAGCTCCAGGCGCCCTGAGAGGAGATCCTGGCAAGTGCACCAGCCCATCTCTTTGCCCTATGTCCCAGCAAGGGCTCTACTGAGTCGGTACCCTGACCTGGACGAGTCTAAGGAATTGGTGCGGACTCCCTCCTGCACTGCCTGGAGAGAAACGACTCAGCGAATCCGAGCTAAACCCCAAAGACCGATATTTATCCCCACATTGTCACACCTCTCGAAAGAGTGAGCCGGGCCTGGGTCTTGGTAGTGCCCAGCACCTTGACCTGAGGCCCCCAAAGTCTTCACCTGAGTAACAGTAATGGTATCAACCTATGCACTGTAACCTGAACTCTATTAACTTGGTTCATCTAGTAAACACACTCACACCGTATGTAAAATATCATTTATTGTGTTTCTCTATTCCAGGACTTGGCAGAAAAACCACCGTAATCACTCCCATACATGGAGCTGAAAGGACACAGTTATTATTAAAATAGGACGAGGTGAGACGGTATTCGTTTGATCTTAATTTATTTCTTATTGATGTAGTTTTATGATAACAGAAATCAGGAAACGAAGGAAATTTTCTTAGGAGGTGGCAGCTGGTTTAAACTTGGGTAAAATTGCCGGCTGGGACTTCCTTTTTAGTGTATCCACCTTGGAGGAGGATTCTGTGAATCCTTCTCGTTGTCTTCCTTTTCCTCTCCTTTTCTCCCTCCCTTGTCTCAGTCATTCCTTCCTGTGCTTTCTGCTCTTCTGCTAGTCCCCAGAAGCTGTTTGAGCTTCGAACGTAATGGAACCTCTTTGCTAAGGGCCCACAGAATGTCAAAACTGAGGTTCCCACTTCAGAGCTGCAGCTTTAAACAGCCAATCCACACAAAGAGGCAGCTAGCGCCTTTAATGAAAACCTCCTTAAAGCTCGAAGAATTGCAGGCTTGGGGATGCATTTATAAGGAGCAAGGAAAATGCATTTCCAAGTTGCCAGTTCTTGTGAGAGAACAGTAAACATTTACCTTAAAAAAAGGACAGAAATTAATATCTTTAATTATGTAGGAGCACAATGTCTCCTCAATTAAAAAAATCTCACATAGATTTATATGTTACTATCTATACATACATTTTACAAGTTTCTAAATGTGCATCTGTCTCCATGTCATAAACGGTCTTGAAGAAGGAAAAGTTTTCTGAAAGTTGAAACTCCCATTCTTCATATTCTTGGCAACTCTGTGTTTGTCCATGCCTCACATACGGATGATTCTATTTTATCTTCACTGCTGTGTAAACCAGTGAGATGTAATGTTCTAAGTTCAGTGTTATGAAATGAAATTACTTGAATTCATGGA